GGTGGCAGGTAGACTGGGGGACTATAGGGTCAGGGTAGCATGGGTAAGTAGGGTGGCAGGCAGACTGGGGGAGTATAGTTCAGTGTAGCATGGGTAATTAGGGTGGCAGGTAAACTTGGGGAATATAGCATCAAGGTAGCAGGGGTAATTAGGGTGGCAGGTAAACTTGGGGAATATAGCATCAAGGTAGCAGGGGTAATTAGGGTGGCAGGGAGACTGGGGGCGTATAGGGTCAGAGTAGCACAGGTAAGTAGGGTGGCAGGTAGACCGGGGGAGTATAGGGTCAGGGTAGCAGGGGTAAGTAGGGTGGCAGGTAGACGGGGGGCCTATAGGGTCAAGGTAGCAGGGGTAATTATGGTGGCAAGTAGACTGGGGGAATATAGCATCAAGGTAGCAGGGGTAATTAGGGTGGCAGGGAGACTGGGGGCGTATAGGGTCAGAGTAGCACAGGTAAGTAGGGTGGCTGGTAGACTGGGGGCCTATAGGGTCAAGGTAGCAGAGGTAATTAAGGTGGCAGGTAGACTGGGGGAATATAGCATCATGGTAGCAGGGGTAATTAGGGTGGCAGACCTGTAGACTGGGGGAGTATACTAATAGGGTCAGGGTAGCACAGGTAAGTAGGGTGGCAGGTAGACTAGGAGGCTATAGTGTCAGGGCAGCAGGAGTAAGTAGGGTGGCAGGTAGACTGGGGGACTGGGTTAAAGAGGGTTAGGCAGGGTGCAGGTAGGATTGCAAACACACACAGTAATGAACTATGAGAAGGTGATAGCAGTAAGAGAGAGGGTCGTCGCCGCTCGTCAGTGGGTGTGGGTGGGAACTAGGAGTTTGGGGCAAGGACAGACTGAACCGACATATACTGGGTAGAGGTTAGACTGCATGGCGGTTAGGCTGGACGAACAACTAGCCGAGTACAAGATCGAGGCTGGGGGGGAAGGAGGGCTGGCTGAAGGTTAGACTCACTCCACTCGTTATCCCATAAGGAGTGACTGGAAACAAGGTAAAGTGCAGTTCGTGTGGAGTTTATGGGAGCATGGCAGTGTAAGTATACATGTGTCACGCTGGGTGCAGGGTAGGCTCTGCGAGCGAGCGAGCGATCGTACCCCCAGCGTTCTATGCGTCGCGTACTAGTACTCTTACCTTTCCACGAGGTGATGCAGCGCCTTGAAGAGCAACGTGCGACACTCGTACGACATGCCATTTTCCCACGATCCGGAGCCCTCGACTTCTGCAACGCAAACCATAAAAAGCGTCACTAAGCCGCACGCATTTACAGGTGGAGGGAACATCAATCTACACATCGATCTATGGCCGATCGAGGAAGGTGGAGAAGAATCATCAACAGGGAGGTCAGCCCCAAGCTGAAGTCTCAGCGTGGACCATCCGCGAGAAGAACTACGACAAAGAAGAAGAAGAAGACAGGTGGATGGCACAATGACAAGAGTTCTGGCCAGAGCAACCTGGATGCACTGGAGAGTAGAGCTTCGCAGTTCGGTGCTGCGCTGTACAGAGAGATGGGCATGAATAACACGCACCAGGTGTGGTATACGCACGTATCTGCAGTAGTGGGGGAGGAGGAGAACCCTGCAAAAATTCCCCTGGGTATTTAATTTACAAAAAAATACATCATCAAAACACACGTAGATATATATATCATTGCAGCGTTTTTAACCTGGCACTTGCTCGCCCGTGATCTGCCGAGCCACAACTGAACTTTTTACGAACTGTCTATTTTCGTGATTTTTACTACAAAATCGATTCCGGCAGCGCGGCTTTTCCCAGCAGCCGGAGCAACGGCAATTTGCACATGTAGCCTAGGTAAGGCAGCGGGAGCGCTGTCGCATGCAGAAGGTCACTGTACCGTACCACTGTACGACATGCAACCTGCCGTCCTACGTACGCTGGCACTGTGAACAAAGCTATAGTTCTACGCTATAGTTCACGCGGCACGACAGTACCAGTAACCGTGAAAGCATCATGCTAGAAGTACATGACATCCCAAATCAGTCTCAAACACACCACAAGCCCATATTGCATTTCTGCTGTGAGCAAACCGAACTGTTTACACTTCATGAATGTAGTAGTACCACATGCCACACACATACACACACGCACAACTCTGAGCACACGCTGTATGCATTGCACGAGGGAATTTTTTCGCCCGTGTGCAGACGACAGAATCTGCGTGACCATCACACAATGTGTGTACATGAAAACAGCGAGCACGCGCTGTTTCGCAGAGCACTGACCTACATTGCCACATATTCCAACTAACATTAATTTTATTTATGTAGCATGTGTCTCTTGCTGACGTCTGCGTGCGGGTTTTATTATGTGTGCGCCTACTGCGGCAAGCGATGCTGCAGACCAATTATTAGTTTACATAGCACAGCGGCATGTTTACGTGTCAGATTCAAAGCACGAAGTGACACCCAATACCACTGCCATCAACTAGCTTACAGTACTATAGTAATGACGTACACGCTCGTTACACACTACAAGATTATTACAAGTCTTTGCAAATCTTACAAATCTTTTCATTTAGCAAGTAGCTGCAGTACGCATGTAGATTTTGTTGTATTTGCCTACAGCTACTGAATGTTCAGCTACAGTTATTTCATGTTTTCCTACAGACTGACATGAAGTAACCGTGGACAAATATGCATTACTGACAGTATATGCATATTTGTCCACGGTTACTTCATGTCAACATATTGTCATTGCATTTTCACGGCTAGTTATTGCATACAATTAATTAACGGCTACTGCAATCTTTAGACATATGATTTCCTTTAACAGCTAAATAGGCAATGGGCCGAGGTGGCAAAATCAGTCTGAAAAATTACTTTCGTTTGACACTTCATGGTCCATGGAACCAAGTTTAATTTTGGCTATAAGTAATATACATTATCCTGATGATAAATCACCAATGTTCACCCCAAAATTCTTGCACATTAGTTTGTAATAAGCGTTTGAAAGGTGGAATTTTCCGAAACAGGCAAATTCTGCCAATAGATGGCTGTATGCGAAGCTTGAACCAATCACGGTGCTCCATTTCACCATAATGGCAGCCCCACGATTTGTAGTTGTAATAACAGACCAAGTAAATACTAAGACTTAGTGAATGAATAGTGATATAATATAATGATATCTGATAAATAATAGTAGATAAAATAGATTAGGATTAAATCACTGCAAGATAATTTCAATTTCTACCCCCAGAGCTCTGTGGTTAGATTAGTGACTGTGGACACTGTGACAGTGTTAGTCCGTACCACTACTAGTACTGGTCACTACCAGTACCAGTGCCAGTGCAGTGGCGAAACGATCTTTTCATTCAATGTTTATAAAATAAATGTAATGTTGCAATAAGTGAGTGTTATGAATTAAATATTCTTCAATTAGGTCGTGGTGACATGCCAGCCACCGTTGAATTTAGGGGCTGTCTCTACTTTGATCATTTACTTATGTCAAGACAAGAGTAATCACAGTATGTAATGATTAAGTTATAATGATTATCATAGACATAGTTATGTGGGACAAACAGTCATATAAATCATAGAATTAAGATAAGTTGCTGGGTTGAAATTCACGTTGTCAGTACTTAGCAAGAGAATGGCATTCTTTCCTGACATTGCCATTGGAGACCCAACCGTGTGATTTAGATAGCAGAACAAATCAGTAGAGCAAGCTAGATTATTTGAGGTAAAAATGCAAAATAGTATTAGTTTATAGCCTTACAGCTCTCAAAAGAGGATCAAATATAAAAATTAGTATTTATATTCTTCTAGAAAGGCAAAACCACAGGCAAGCTACATTTTGCATATCAGTACAGTCTAAATAATGCATATAGCATGGTTCTTAAACTATCGTAATAACAAGAAAAATCCTTGTAGGTCTACATTCAGTAACACTTCTGGCTAGCTCTTGATTAGTTTGATCAAATTGAGTCATGTCATTGCAAACACTATAGTAACTTACACAAAAGAATTGTGCTCGAGAATCTAAATACAAATGCACATGTACGTCGTACGATACGGTGTGACGATTCACTGATACATCGGCCCACAATATGGTAATCGATATGCACCATCCGTATCGTGATACAAACGATACAGATGAATTCTTTCTTCTATCTTATGAACTCCCTCTCAGTATCATGTAAATATCCTTGGCTGTCGTAGAAACCTGGGTCAATATATGTGGCACACTTGTATTGCCCCAAAAATTGTTACTGCAAAACAATAAAGAGTGCGAACTGACAGACTGGTGCGTGTCGGTACTACACACGTATTGTAGCATTGTTGTACCTCCTTAGCCACTTGATGGGACAAAAATATAGGAAATATAGCAGGTTATCCTGCAAAATATAGGCGGAATATAGGAATTTTGAGGAATTGAGCAGAAGCTGTGCACACATTCACCCTACAACCTTGGCTCCTGGAAGGTCTCTAGGTTGAAACAATTCAGAGATACTCACTGTCTGCAGGAATAGGATACTGACTTTTCAAAGAGATGCACATGACCTGTAAAACTTCACAATAACAGCTCTACTCAGAATGCTTGGTGTAATCCAGGTCCACCAGATAGAAGTGGAGTGCATTGATATGGGACTATATAGTACAGCAAGTTCTGGTGAACATGTTCTTATGAACTACAGTGCCATCCATCCTACAAATATAATCTTTTATGCCAAGGATTACTTGCATGTACTCTAAAGTCTACAAGCATCACAGATGCCATAGACAGGATACACAATCAAATCTCCATAACTAGCTGGCAAGGCATTGTCATACAAATAAGAATACTATACTACCAACTTATAATGTATCAGGAGCCAAGGAATTATTATAGAGAAGATTGCTGCAACAAATGATTTTGACATATATTTGTACATGGCTTTGATATACTCATATTACGTTGAGTATAGGACGTTGTTATGAAAGTATTTGGATACATATTTTCTGTCTGTCATGATACGTATCGACGGTATCGTATCATGACTTACGTGTCGAGATACGTATCGTATCGTGATCCTAGTGTATCGTTACACCTCTAATGCATGCCTATACTTTCTAACTGCCAAAATATCTGCAAGGGGGACAAGAGAGATGGTTTAATTTTGCATCTGTTTTAATCACCTTGGACTGCATGCATATTCACAAAAAGCTAGCTTCAAGGCCAGCTACCAATTTAATCGATACGCAAAATACAGGTATATTTTATTTCAGGCACTTCAACGGTTTAAAATTGACTTTTGATATTTTATATGTAAGTCGTATATATCTGAATTTATTGCCTTTTACATCCAGAATCGGTACAAACTGCAAAGTCATACTTACCGTAATATGTAACATTATACTCGGGACTATACAAAATCAGTATGTGTGCTACCCCAGCAGCAACAGAAAAGCATTGCCAATGCCAATTACGCACGAATGATACTCCTAGTAAACGTAATTGTAATATACAGCAAATTCAATGTAGGACATTTTAATCTGTCAATGGTACTAGATCACACACACTAAAGAACACATGCAAAATGTAATGTCTCCCCCTACATTTGCAGCATGAATTTACTCTTCATCACTAGTGTCATCTTCAGAAATACCCTCATCTTCTGCTCTATGTGGCTGCTGAATATCTAAATACTGTTTGTAAGAACACAGCTCATATCAGAACACTGCAGCTTGTTATCTCTACATGTATACATGTGCACTTTCAATGCAAGCACCCAGTTTTGTTGCATTTACATGCAATGTATTTTTGCAGAGCATCAGGTGCAAAAGAAATGCTATATTCCAAACTGGTTACAGGGTTCTCCCTCCGTTGCGCAAAAAATAGGTAGCGTGCGATACAGTAACCATGGCCGTAAAACAAACGGGAACGCACTACACACAGTTTTACTTCGTACACAAGATGGCATTTAATCCACGCGATAACAATTAGCGCGATCTACATGCTAGGAAAAGGTCAAACTTTACAAAGCTCCCCTTCAACAAATGCTCCCAAGCACAGACTCCCTCTTAATTATTAAGCCGCTGCGCATTTAGCGAGTTATAGCCGCATAAACGCACTTCGCACAGGTGGACAGACACTGCCTCGTTCCTGCTACGTCACGCGCCGCTGGAGGGAGAAGCTGAAAGAGAATGCCAAGAAGTGGGAGGCGCAGGGGGAAGGCATGCGATAAAATGCGTCCGGGTGGGAATAGCCGAAAACGTGTACAGG